GTTTTATATCGGATATCCGATAGTTTCGGTTACGGTTACGGATATTTTTTATATCGGATATCCGTTGGTTCCGGTTACGGTTACGGATATTTTTTATATCGGATATCCGATAGTTTCAGTTACGGTTACGGATATTTTTTATATCGGATATTCGGTAGTTTCGGTTACGGTTACGGATATTTTTTATATCGGATATCCGATAGATTCGGTTACGGTTACGGATATTTTTTATATCGGATATCCGATAGTTTCGGTTACGGTTACGGATATTTTTTATATCGTATATCCGATAGTTTCGGTTACGGTTACTGAAATTGTTTTATATCGGATATCCGATAGTTTCGGTTACGGTTACGGATATTTTTTATATCGGATATCCGATAGTTTCGGTTACGGTTACGGATATTTTTTATATCGGATATCCGATAGTTTCGGTTACGGTTACGGATATTTTTTATATCGGATATTCGATAGTTTCGGTTACGGTTACGGATATTTTTTATATCGGATATCCGATAGATTCGGTTACGGTTACGGATATTTTTTATATCGGATATCCGATAGTTTCGGTTACGGTTACGGATATTTTTTATATCGGATATCCGATAGTTTCAGTTACGGTTACGGATATTTTTTATATCGGATATTCGATAGTTTCGGTTACGGTTACGGATATTTTTTATATCGGATATCCGATAGATTCGGTTACGGTTACGGATATTTTTTATATCGGATATCCGATAGTTTCGGTTACGGTTACGGATATTTTTTATATCGGATATCCGATAGTTTCGGTTACGGTTACGGAGCTCCCTAACATCCCTGGTCTTTGGCAAGTTGCGTAGAGAAGTGCTACGATGTGCTACGGTACGTAGCACGAGCGTATTAGATCGTAGCCCGTGTCTACAAGTACGTATAATATATTGGCCACTCAAATTTGAATTGAAATGAATCTCTATTATTGTAAACATGTACAACATTTATTTGAAAAGACTACGAGCTGAGTTTCTTGTCAGTTCTTCTCGTCTCGAAATCATTCCGAACTGCCGGTAGTGACATATCATAAGAGTCTGTAATAGACCTACATGAATAAAGATATTTTGAATTTGAATTTAACTTGATTCATGAATTAACTAAATTTAAATTTTCCTGTTTAATACATACTACACAGTTATACGTGTTTTAAAATGAATAATATTATCTATACATATAAATAAAATTGGAGTGTCTGTTGTAATATTGAAATAACCGTTTTTTACTACATGCATATGAATATAAATACGGTACATACATCAAAATAACATTTCTTACAATTTTTGTCTGTCTGTCTGTCTGTTTGTTCCGGCTAATCTCTGAAATGGCTGGACCGATTTATTTTGGAGTATATAAATGTATGAATGTATGATAATGTTTTCCTATTGACAAATATTTTTTTTTTTTCTTACTTGACGGTCTCGGTGGTCTAGTGGTTTAGCACACTGCTTTACTTCCGATGATCGCGGGTTCGATTCCTCGCACGGCACAAACATTTATATTCATGAACATATGTTTTTCTATTAGTTTAGGTGTTTTCTATGTATAATATGTACGTATTTACAAAATACAATGTCTATATGTATTATATCAGTTATCTAGTACCCATAACACAAGCTTTAGCCAATTTAATTTTATTAGGCACATTGATTTTAGAACAAAAATCGTATTACTAAGTAGTTGATATGTAACGTACAACTGAATCAGATCGAGAATAAATTATATTTGCTGCTGTATATAATAATAATAATAATAATAATTGCTGGTGCTGTTAGATTCTGCCCGCATTGTACGCCGGTTTCTCTCCCTGGGGCCCTGAACCCCGGCCGACTGTGCTTCTGCCGGGGGTGAGTTGCCATCTCCTCTCCTTAAGAGGGGAGATGAGAATTTTTGGAATGAAAATTAAATAATAATAATAATAATAATAATCACAATCACATACACACACTCTGCACTTACTTGGTTTCGGTCCGTAAGTGTGGAGAAAACCAGCAATAGCTGAGAAAAAATAAAGAATAATAATAATAATAATAATAAACCAGCAATAGCTGAGAAAAAATAAAGAATAACAATAATAATAATAATAATAATAATCTACAGGAATTATACCAAAAAGTCTGAACAAACACCTAGACACGTTGCATATCCCCTCCTCTACAATAGAACTACTACAAAAAGCCGTCATACTAAACACATGCCGAATAGTCAGAAAATTTTTATCTTCATCACATAACTCATCCATGCTTGGCTAAGGCCCGCATGTTTGAATATATTACCCCCGTAAAAAGGGAGATATAATAAATATATATATATATATAATAATAATAATAAATTATATACGCCACAAAGGGTAAAACCCAGCAAAAAGGCTGGGAAAGCGAAACATATAAATAATAGTAATCTCAGGACAATTCACACAGCGCCATCTAGACCCAAGTAAAGCTAGCTAAAGATTGTGTTATGGGTATTAGATAACTGATAATAATAATCTCAGGACAATTCTCACAGCGCCATCTAGGCCCAAGTTAAGCTAGATAAAGCTTGTGTTATGGGTACTAGATTACTGATACAAATATATAGATATTTTTTTTTCCGTAAATATAATAAAAACTTTACATCCATAGCACGGACAATATTATCTGATTACACTAATAATGAGTGCGTAGCGATTTCTATGTTGATTATCGCATGCCTCTTACTTGTTATACTGTAATTATTTATATAATAAAACATCTATTAAAAAGAGCAACACACAAGTTTCTTGCTCATTCTTCTTGTGATGAATCTGCATTCCGAATGAGTGGTAGAATCAAAATATGACTATTCAAAAGTGCTTGTAATGAGTTTATTTGAATAAAGATTATTTCTATTTCTATTTCTATAATATATACCACTGAATATCTCCATCAAATTTGGGTCTAGATAGCGCTGTGTGAATTGTCCTGAGATTATTATTTCTAAGAACTATCATGTTTGCTAACAATTATTATACAATAATATCATATATATATGTAATAGATTGCTAGTTACAAACTCGCCAACTATCCGCAGAGGGAAAGTATTTTAAACTAGTAATCTGCGTGTCTTTGATCCCCGAATTGAAACGAGCTCGTAATTGACTTACTGTCATACGTCCAGCCACAGTTTAAACAAGGGCAGTTGAACAACTTCATATATAATAGCCTTTCTGTTAATGTATATAACATATTTTCTTTCTACAAAAAATAAAAATGATGATGATGATGATGAATAAAAAATATATCTTTTCTTCAATATCATTATATAAATATATATAACTCAAAGGTGTCTGACTGACATAGTGCTCTATCAACGCACAGCCCAAACCACTGGACGGATCGGGCTGAAATTTGGCATGCAGGTAGATATTATGACGTACATAGGTATCCGCTAAGAAAGGATTTTGATTAATTCTACTCCTAAGAGGATAAAATAGGAGATGAAAGTTTGTATGAAACTTTGTCAATATTAAACCGATCGGGCTGAGACTTTGCATGCATAAAGCTACTATGACGTAGGCATCCCTGCATAGGCTCTGTGGCGAGATATTGCATCTCTGTACATTTTCTACCGCGTATATCACGTGCAGCGTTCTGAGGAATTGTTCGGATTAATACCAGCTGCTGAGTTTCGCCACCATACCACCTGCCAGAAACTAAAATACCATCCTGATCATCTCTATAAATGGCGGTCCTACACAGTGCGGTTTTCTAGAAACATTTTGCCACGCCCAACCACATTGTGGAATCACCTTCCAGCAATGGTATTTCCGAACCGATACGATATTGAAACCTTAAAGAAAACAGCTTATTCCTTTTTAAAAGGCCGATACCGTAGTTGCAATTCCCCTGGTGTTGCGGGTGCTCATGGGCGGCGTTGATCATTTACATCAAGTGAGCACGCGGCTCGTCTGTCCCTGAGTTACAAAAGAAAAAAACTGTATACTGTCATGTTTATTACATAACATATAGTCTGTGGCACAGTTCTACGTGACGCAGAGTACGACGTAATCCGGAGTCTACAAAGGAAGAATCTCCGCCGCCGCTCGAAACTAATTTCGGCATTTATTCAATTTTAGTAAACGTCACTACATTATACGTCTATTTGTTGGGAAATAGATTCTATCAAACAAATTGGATGCGTGGGCCCACTGTAAACGTCCCGCCTCTAACTCAAAAGCGTTTATTCATGTAGGATATTTTAGCCAATTACTCACATCAGATTTTTCCGGCCTGCTGTTTTGTATGGATCAGAGTGCTGGCCCATAAAGACGACGGATGAGAGACGACTGCGTGCAACTGAAATGCGAATGTTGAGATGGATGTGTGGTGTGACGAGGATAGACAAGATAAAGAATGAATACATCAGAGGAAGTATGAGAGTGGCACCGATGTCGGAGAGGTTAAAGAGTAATCGTCTATCGTGGTATGGACATGTAATGCGTAGGAATGAAGATCATATCCTAAGGACGGTGTTACATATGAATGTGGATGGTTATTTTTTATTTTTTTATTTATTTATATAACTTCAATGCACCTTAACGCCTTAAGGCATTTTCTACCAGTCAACCACAGGCTGTGCAGAGAAAAACTGGTTATAAGGGTAGAGGAAGACCGAAAAAGAGATGGATGGACTGTGTGAAAGATTGTTGTGTATAGAAACTACGAGATCTGGATAACAACTGCTTTATTAATAATATGTAGGTACTTAAATAAGAACTAAAACACGAACACCCTCAACATCTTTCCCTTTTAAAAGCAAAATATACTATTACTAAAATATATAATACAAACTATGAATTACAATACTAATAATAAAATGAATTACTATTCATTTAGTTAGTAGACAATTTACCAAGTATAGATATAACAATCAATTACTACATACTATTTATGTTAACATTAGATAAATACAAAAAATAAAATAAAAATAAACTAACAACTGCAATATTATTTTGGTAACTGCCTGCGGGTACGTGGCGGTGAATAAGATTTGTAAACACTCTCTCTAATTTTGCAATTGGGTACATATAATTCATCACCATCATCATCATTAGCCGATAGATACGGACATTCCTCCCCTATAGTTTCCTCATATTTATTATTGGGCATACTTTGAATTAAGTGTCGGCGATTGCGGCGGTAAATACCTTTTTTATTTTTTATAATATAAGACCGCGGTGTACAAGCCCGTGCTATAACCGTACCTCGGATCCTATCGTTGTTTTCTATCATAATGACGTCATCGCCGACATTCAATTCAGGCAGTTGTTTACATCGTTGATCATAATATAGCTTGGTTTTCTTTTGTTTATTTACAATTATTTTATGGTCCACATCGTTATTCACTTTTAATAAATCAGGATGAACCGGTAATCGACAATTTAATCGTCGACCCATTAACAGTTGAGCAGGAGAATTCAAATTATTATCGCGGGGAGTATTTCTGTAACTCAATAAATTTAAATAAAAGTCGCCATCACTGTCTATTGTTTTTGTTAACATTTTTTTAAGAGTTTGTACGGCTCTTTCGCTCTTGCCATTAGCCTGAGGGTAATAAGGTGATGAAGTCACATGACTGAATCCCCATTCTGATGCAAATCGTTTAAAGTTACGACACGAAAACTGTGGACCATTGTCACTTATTACCGTTTCCGGAATGCCGTACCGAGCAAAATTTTCTTTCATGCAATCTATTACTGAAACCGAAGACAAATCTTTTAAATGTGTAACTTCTATGAAACCTGAAAAATAATCCACTAAGACCAAATAACACTTTTTTCGGTGCTCAAATATATCCGTACCGATTTTATTCCATGGCAAATTTGGAACAGTAATTGGAGTCAATGGTTCTTTCGACGGTTTGTTTGAATTCTCCTGACAAACTTTACATTTTCGAACGTAACTTTCTACATCTTTTGTAATACCTGGCCAAAATAGTACTTCACGTGCGCGTCTTTTACATCTCTCAATCCCCAAATGTCCTTCGTGTACAAGCTTTAACATTTCATTTTTTAACGAACATGGAATTAAGACTTGTTTGTTTTTAAATATAACACCATCTATGCAATACAATTCGTCTCTTATAGACCAATAATACTTCAACTCATTTATTATATTACCCTTATAAACCGGCCAGCCTTGATTTATATACGAAATTAAGAATTTTAAAATGTTATCTTTACTCGTCTCGCGTTTTATTAGAGTAAACTTATTTTGGGATATCGGTACATTACTAATTATCATTTTAACTTGACATAATATTGAATCACTAATTTTATCAGAATACAAATCTGGAAGAGGCGCACGTGATAATGTATCTGGTAAATACATATATTTTCCAGGTTTATAGATAACTATTAAATCATATCCCTGTAATTTTAACATCATACGCTGCAAGCGTGCTGGGATTGAATCCAGGGGCTTTTTGAAAATACTCTCAAGAGGTTTATGATCAGATTCAATGACTATATGTGGTTTTCCATAAATATATTGGTGAAATTTCTCACATGCGAAAACAATAGCCAGTAACTCCTTTTCAATTTGTGCATACCTAACCTGTGTGTCGGTGAGTGTGCGCGAGGCGTACTCCACCGGCCGGCCGCCCTGCATGAGAACGGCGCCCAGGGCCACGCTACTCGCGTCCACAGACATCACTACCGTACTGTTAGTGTCGTATAGTGCTAACACGGGAGCGTTACTTAACAATTGTTTTAGCCTGCTAAACACTTTTTTATGACTCATTTCCCACGTCCATAATACGTCTTTTCTCAACAATCTAGTCAATGGCACAACGTGATCGGAATAATTAGGTATAAATTTAGATAAATAGTTCACCGCCCCCAAAAATCGTTCCAAGCTTTTTCTATCCGTTGGTTCAGGCATGTTAATTATGGCTCTAACTTTTTCTGGGTCTGTTTTCATTCCATCTTGATTAAACAGATGACCTAGATAAGTTACCTCTTTTAAGCCTATTCGACATTTTTCTTTATTAAATTTTAAATTAATTTTGCGAGCCCTGCTAAACAACGCTTTTAATCGTTTATCATGTTCATCTTTATTTCTACCCCAACAAATTATATCGTCAATAAATGAATCTATCCCCTCTAAGCCTTCAAGTAATTGTTTTATTTTCGCGTGAAATATTTCTGGCGCACAATTTAACCCAAACGGTAATCTCAAATACTGATATCGCCCGAACGGCGTACTGAACGTACACAAATCGGCACTTTCACTATCTAGTTTGATAGACCAAAATCCAGAATTAGCATCTAAAACCGAGAAATACCTCGCTCCGTGCAATTTAGTAGCCAATTCATGTATTGTTGGTAACTGAAAATGTGAACGTTGTATAGCTTTATTAAGTGGTCTCGGATCCAGACATATACGCAATTGACCATTTTTTTTAGCTACTATAACTAAAGAGTTCACCCATGGTGTAGGCTGTGTTACCTTCCTGATAACACCCAAATGTATCATCCTATTTAGTTCTTCCTCTAACTTATCGCGCAATCCTAATGGGACCTTGCGAGTAGAACAAACCACTGGCGCCACTGATTTGTCCACGACAATGTGGTACTCTCCTGGTAAACAACCTAAACCAGTGAATAAATCCTCATTATTAGACATTGTAACGCTGTGAATCCTCTTTATCAACCCCAAGGTTTCACACGATTCATATCCTAGCACACTTTGACAATCGATATCAGCGATAGCGAATTTTAATTCATAGAGAACATTCTTATACCACCACTGTAAAATTGAAGTTCCCCTTATAGGAATCGAATTACCTCCATATGCTTGGAGTATAATATTTGAATCCGTACAAATACTGTTTATATCATAACCTAGTGACAGATAACGCTTAAGGGATAAGACATTTATATCTGCTCCCGTATCCAATTTAAACTTCTCAAAACCATGCTCGCCTCGAAGTATCTCAAACCAGTTGTGAGACGAGTTAATTTCATTAATATTATAAACAGAAGAAACAAAAAATGGCTCACAGTCGCTGTCCGTAGACTTCTCGTCGTCCACACCGATCTCGTGCATTTTTTTAACACTTTTTTTTAACTTGCACATTCTAGCAAAATGACCGTAATTTTCACAAACATAACACTGAACTGTAGTAGCGGGACACGAGCCCGGTTCCGCACAGCGCCCTCCGCACCTAAGACACGGCGCGCTGCCAGAGCTCAGCCGCACCGGCAGCGCCGGCCGGCGCCCGCCGCCGGGCCGCCCGCCGCCGCGCGGGCCGCGCGCTCGCCACGCGCCGCCGCCGCGCTGCCGTAACGCGTCCACTTGCAACGTCCCGGAGCCGCCGCACAGTGGGAACTCGCCTAAGAAAGCCATCTCATAAATACTTTTTCTAAAACTCCGTGGATGTGCATGTATAATACCTCAACTTGTAGCCAAAGAGTTACTCTATCATTATAAATATGATTCAAATCTCTGACTATTCATACTTCATAGAATAGAGCCTCTAAAGTCAAGGAATGAAAAAAATACAAAAATAATTTTGTAACTTAAATTTGTTTAGTATAAGTTTATAGTATCAAAACAATATCAAGTCATATAGTGTGATACCATTTTAGAATCCTTGGAATGTGTACTTTACTATAATATAAAAATATATTTAGTTTAGTCGAATATTATTTAACTAAAAATCCATATATCGTTATATGTACTATTTTCTTTTCTCAGACTTTCACTTGGAGATTTGACAGTTGCCGAAGCTTGCCGAAGTTCTAAATTTGGTTTTATTTATTAGGAAATATAATTTAATTGGATGGCATAACATTTTTTTTTGCAGTTTCACTGCGTAAAATATTTAAATCGAGTATAATATCATGGTGAGATTTGTTTTTTCTAAGTACGTATATTAAGATTTTCTTCTTTATTTGAGATTCTCTGTCTGAATACTCAAAAAAATACTTTTTGCTCAATTATTACTTTATATTTTATCTATTGCCTTACTTTTATCAACTATTTCACACAGTATATAGTTCCCATTCCCATACAGACCTATTCTATACCGCATAATGATAAATATTTTTTATCAAGTAATTTTGCACACGTATATGATCATTATCAAGTATAAAATAGTGTATGTATTTGCATATGAAATATTACAGTTCTTCATAAGCATTTGTCATTACTAAACAATTGTTAATTACTCATCTCGCCCCAATGAGTGAATTCTCGTGTACCAGAGGCGACTTAAGTCTCTTATTGATTTAAAGTTATACAAATTATGTTGATTCTATCTCAAACTATATACGAAATAATTTTACCGAATCTTCAGATAGCCAATATAGCAAAAATTATCGCAAGTATTTAGAAGTCCTTCATAACTCAGTTTCGTCAACGCTATACGAAATGTGGTCGAAAGAAAGAACAGTTTTTAAATAAAATAGCAATTGATAGGATGGTATTTTCACTGTAAATCTAGAAAAAACTACATGCGAACCTACACCTCCTACTTCGACAGAGAAAAGAGGAAGACCTTCTAAAACGTACGAAGACAGTTCGGACAAAGAAACGGAAAAACAAGGGATTGCTTGATACCTGTGGACTTCATACTGAACTCATAATATGTACAGGGTTTAAGGGTTTCATCGTTGATATTTTACGAGCATTGCCGGCAGAAAACTAGAATGAAATGAGCAATCTTAATGAGTAATCTTATTAATGAACCGGCACATATAGCAGCATATTCAAAACATTAAGCTCTTAGCATGTTCATAAAATTGGATCTGAACAAGGCACAGTATAAAAATATGAGGAGTTGTTTGATAGCAACACTAATGACGGCAATACAGCCAGAAGATTTTTCCAAAATTATCATTGTACATTAAATATCACTGGTATATATGAGGAATTAATAAAACTGTTATGTTATGAAATGAAATGTGAACGTGTGACACGTCACTTTTCTGTCTTGCCTCTCGGGCAAGTTTCAGAAGATGCTCAAGAGTTACGGAACAAAGACTATAAACAGTTCAAGCTTCATCATGCAAGACAATGTTCGAGGGTAGCCTCTAACAAAGATGTTCTACACGCATTTTTATATACCTCTGACCCATACATAACAAGTTTAAGAAAACCTTCAAATTAAAAATATTTAGCACTTTTTGATGAAGCAAAGGAGCTCTTGAGTGACTTGTAAGCCATCTTTATAAGAATTTTTGTTTTTTACGTAGATACTTTTACTTATTTCTGTATAAACTTCTTAGGACATAAATGTAAGTCTACAAATTCTATATTTCTTGTATTCCTACATTATTTATAACAATTAGAAATATTTTTTTACTCACAAAGCATACATTATTTAAAAGTATATATATTTAAGATTATCAGGAAAAAAAATCATGTACATATCTTTATTAATACAGAAGTTATAGATTTATGAGATGAAAATGAGTCAAAGTTCCCACTGTGCGCCGCCGCGAGACTCCAACAGGCGACTGCTGTCATTCGATATTTCATCCACTTGGCATATGTTTATTGTTCTCTCTAATGTCAAGTCCTCGGTTCTCAATAGACGATCACGTACCGTCGTGTTTTTTATGCCGCAAACTATGCGATCGCGAATGAGCTCCTCTTCTAATATTTTGAAGTCACAATTTTTACTCAACAATTTCAATGCTGTCACATATTGATTTATCGACTCGCCGATCTCTTGGTTTCGCATAAAAAAATTATACCTTGCCAAAGTTATATTCTGTTTCACTCCAAAATACTCATCAAATTTTTTCAGCAAAATGGCGACGTCGTCTTTTTCTTTTTCGCTTTTAAAAGTAAAAGTTTCGTAAACATCGAAACCTTCGGGTCCAACCAAATTTATTAATAGGCTCGCCTGCACACATTCCTCCTCTTTATGCACCCCCGATGCTTTCAAAAACAAATTAAATTGTATTTTCCATTTCTTCCACGCGTCAGCCCGGCTGACGGAGCTGCCCTCCAGACGTAGTTCCGACGGTGGTCGCGCGTGTTCCATAATATATAGTTATCAATAGCACTTTTAACTACTGAAATATTACTAAACTAAACAGTCAATTCGTAATATTATTAGTTTAATTGATTTTTTAAACCGCTGTCACCATGTTGTATATAGAAACTACGAGATCTGGATAACAACTGCTTTATTAATAATATGTAGGTACTTAAATAAGAACTAAAACACGAACACCCTCAACAGATGATATGGTGAGAAAGGGAGTAAATAACGGGATGACTCGATGGGCTAACTGACCTGATCTCATGCTCATCTTATCATCCTGAGGGTGCACCATTCCATTATCTATACATCTATACATATAAATAAAATTGGAGTGTCTGTTTGTAATATTGAAATAACAGTTTTTTACAACATGCATATGAATATAAATACGGTAACAAAATAACATTTATTACAATTTTTGTCTGTCTGTCTGTTTGTTCCGGCTAATCTCTGAAATCCAACCATTGATTTTGACAGGACTTTTATTGACTGATAGCTGCTGTAATAACGAGTTACTTAGGCTACTTTCATTTTAGAAAAATAAAGTTAAATTCCACGCGGACGAAGTCGCGGGTGCAGCATATCCATGAAATGAAAAAAAACACGTGGTAGTTCCAAAGGCAGTAAATTCCCACTCGTGGCCTGGCCATGCCGGTAACAGTTTTGTTCAATTCGGAGCGCCGCCGCGCCGCCATGCTACCGTCCAGTTCTCAGATGACTAATGGCTCTTTCAATAAGTCGGTGCTTTCGTGATATTTTTATCAATCTTTCTCGACTCTCAATGTTTTATGGCGGGAAAAAATTGACGGCAATTTTATCTCGATTACGGCTATATGTTATAATTTTGATACTTTCATAAAAATGGTATAATAATAAAAATGGTGAATATATTTAGCAGGATTTCATTTGATTCATGATTTTTGCACCTATTTTTAACATCGCACCGCTCGCCATTAACTGGAAATTCACTCTCACATGCTGGAACCTAAGTGGTCAGACTCAGGTCTCGGACAGTGCGGTTTCAGAGGAGTTTCCTAGCTCGTAGACTTAGTAGAATAAACTGCCTATCGACGTTTCCTCTAGAAATTACAGTATGAGGTTTTTCAATATTACTACAGTTTCTTTTTTACCTAAGGAAATCCTTATACCCTGAAACCTAAGTGGTCTCGGACAGTGCGGTTTCAAAGGAGCTTCTTTCCGCGTGTACTTAGATTGTAGAATAAACTACCTGCCGAGGTTTCCTGGAGAGACTACAGCATGGGGTTTTTCAAGAAGGGTATATCCCATCAAAAACATAAATATGAAATGATAGCCGAGTTTAATATTATGATATATGCCTTGATTGTTGACTTCTACGACAAAAGAGGTGAGATCTAAATGGGTGTCAAGTTCAATGGTCTGTCCTGAAATGTATTTATAACAATATAAAATATCATTTCTTCTTATAACTTAGGATAATATACTGTAGCCTAAGGTCTAACTTGGCTAGTTCTCATATACCAATTATTACTTTCGATGGCTAGTTACTACTAATATTAAAATAGGAACCGACAAGTAACATGTTTAGAACTTGCGAAGGCTACAGTATATTTCGTATATGAAAACTAGCCAAGTTAGACCTTAGGCTACAGTTTACCAGTTTCAGATTTTTTCCTTTATATTCACCTAATTACCTATCTGCATGCCATATTTGAACTTCCTAGGTCATCTGGAAGTGGGTTATAATTTTGATCTATAGTTGATCAGTGATAAAAGTGACGATATTTGGACGTTAATATCTAAATAACCGTTTCAGATATGTTTATGAAATTTGGAACACATATTTATCTCGCAAGTCTCAATATATGAACAAATTTGACAGGTTTATGTGAAAGAGTTTTTGAGTTATGAGGGGGTCAAAACTGGCTCCAAATGGTTCGTGTAAATATACACACGGTGCTCCTCGCCAGTTCTCTTACTTGAAACTCGGCTTGACACGCTACCGCGTGTCTAGATTATGATTTCTTAAGGCCAAAAAAAAAAGACGGATCTTTTTTGGCAGGTAACTGATGTAATAAGGAGTAACTTAGACTACTTTTATTTTAGATAAATAAAGTTAAATTCTAAGCGGACAAGTCCCGTGTACAGCTAGTTGAAAATAAAATGAGAATTGTATTTGGCTTTTTGCACTGCAAATGTATTTATCTTAATAATTTTCTTTCAAATAATTCTTGTTCTTGACAATTGTTCTGTCCTGAAAAAGATACGCAAATATGTGCAAGCATTCTGAAGTGATACGCTTATATACGGCGATTGATTTTTGTTTATTACTAACTAGTAATAAACAAAAATCAATCGCCGTATGCGAAGCCGGGACAAGTAACTACTCGCCCCGGCTTCGCACGGGTGTACATATATCATACATATAAACCTTCCTCTAGAATCACTCTATCTATTAAAAAAACCCGCGTCAAAATCCGTTGGGTAGTTTTAAAGATTTAAGCATACATATGGACGGACAGCAGCGACAGCGACTTTGTTTTATACTACATATGTAATGATAGTATTTTCTCTTTAATTAATTCTGTCTGGCAGTGTTATAAATGTTGGTCTGTCTGTTCGATGCGCCCTCCAAACCCATTCAATTCTTTATATTTTTCATTTGATTGTTCATTCCGACTGATATTTGAGACTAATATTCACATTAACTTAACCGGTACTCTAAAACAATTAAATGGAGTGGATAAATTGCCTCCCTGTTGGTCTCTAGTGCTCGACTTGCAGCATCATCAGTCGCAGATTCGGGGGGCGTCACGTCGGGGTACACGGCCCGTCAGCGCCGCGTACTAACGACCAGTATAAATCAAAACCCGTGGGCCCCAACTGTAAAAAGACCCGGAAAACAAATAGAGAAATATTTTCCACAGACAAATTAATACAGAATGCGAAATTAAATTCCCGTGACGCGGCTTCGCGACGTTTTTAGTGCGTTACGACTCTGTCGACATTTTGCCGTTTAAGTCGCAACGTTTATTTATGAAAGACGCTCGGTTAATCCGACTTCCTTTTGCTCGTGTCCCAGTCTGAGAGTTTATTACAGGGTTGCTAACTGCAGGTAGATCTATTTATTTATTATTCATATTGAATAGAATAGAATAGAATAGAATAGAATAGAATAGAATAGAATAGAATAGAATAGAATAGAATAGAATAGAATAGAATAGAATAGAATAGAATAGAATAGAATAGAATAGAATAGAAAATCATTTATTGAAATAAACTTAATTTAAGCACTTTTGAATAGTCAACATTTTTTTTAAATCTACCGCTTCTTCGGAAAGCTGTCTCATCACAAGAAGAATAAGCAAGAAACTTGTGTGTTGCTCTATTAAACAATCCTTGTAAGTTCACATTTTACAAGTCGAAACGTGTGAATACAAACTACCAACCAGCACTAATTTATTTAGGCTCAATTATAAAAACACAATATAATTAAATCAGTCGTAGTGATAAGAGCAGACCAGTCCCTACAAGCAGCACTCGTTCACGAGTATGACGGATGAGCCAGCCATCACTACGCTCGACCATATTTTAGGGAGCCCAATGACCCGGCCCACCACGCCGCCACATGTCTGGACATTTTAGTGAGCATGACTACTCATTCCACTCGACCACGTCATAGCTACAAAAATTACTATATGGTAGTTACAGTATTCGCACTTTACATGAGGATGCATGCGGCAATCAATACAAAAGCCGCTACGCTATCATATATCAAGAAAGCAGTATGAAAAATAAATTATAACGTTGTCCGCAAATAAACTTATACTTGCTATATATTGCTATCATCTATAAATTCATCTATCCTATAATAGGCTTTTTTACATAACATTTGTTTAATATAAAGTTTGAATTGCCTCTCTGTCAGATTTAGCGTAGATTCTGGCAGTTTATTATAGAATCTTACGCAATTACCATAAAATGAATCACTAACTTTGTGTAGACGACATTTGCATTGCTTTACACACTTATGGTATACAATTAAATAATTCATACACATAACATGCACCTTTTAGGGACTGCAACGTGGACGAGAGGCGGACGTTTTAAATATCATACTAATCAATATCTTGCAAGTATTCTTCAAGTTTGTAATTGGCAACTGCTTTATTTGTCAACATTTGTTTTAATTGGATCATCATCATCATCATCAGCCTACTGCAGTCCACTGCTGGACATAAGCCTCTCCCAAGGCACGCCACTGGGCACGATCTTCAGCCCTCCTCATCCAGTTACTACCCGCAACACTACGTATGTCGTCACTCCACCTAGCTGCGGGGTTAGCTGCGTCCTACACTACGTTTGCCAATTCGCGGTCTCCACTCTAGAACACGCCTACTCCAGCGAGCATCGGTTCTGCGACAAATATGACCAGCTCACTGCCACTTCAACTTATATGTCGGTGACCTTAGTTCTCTGGCGAATTACTTCGTTTCGGATTTTATCCCTCAGAGAATAATAACTAAACCTATAATAACTAAACCTCTACCAGAATTACTAGTTTTAAGTACCTATGTGTTATTAAAACTATATATTTAACTAAAAAGAAGGTTAAAACAGCCAAATGAGACAAAAAATATACTTTGAATTTATTTTAAATGGCAAAAAAATTCATACAAAATATTATTTTTTTACCGAACGATTACTCGCGCGGCTGCAAGTGGCCGCGGTTGATTTATATTTTAGTGGATAGAGCATGATCCTAACTATTATATACCAACGCCATACACCCAACATATTTCTACAATTGAAGAAAAAAAAATAAAACGTGATTCGCTCCATACAAAAAAAACAATTTATTTTTTTTCAGACAAACTATCAACTTTAGAAGAAATTTTACAAGAGTAAAAGTTGTCAGGAATGTCATAACACGTCATATAAAAAAAAAATCGTATCGATATTGGAACTTTGTTGCCTATGTCCACCAATTTTCAATTTGGGCCCACTGTGCGGCGGGG